GCGGAGCAGGGAAGCGGCCGCGAGGGCTGTAAACAAGCGGGGGCCCGCAGGCGCCCAGCCCCGGCCAGGACGGCAGACGCCTGCGGACTCCCGCCAGGTGCGGCCACGGCGCCGGAGACGCAGCAGACACCGCCAGATGGTGGCGGGGAGCACCGGTGGGCGGCCTGTGGCCAGGAGGGATGGGGGGCAGGAAGGGCCAGGGTTGCCGGGGAAGCCTGGAGGGGTCAGGGAGGGGCCAGGAGGGGTGGGGTGGTGGGGCTAGGGCATGCCAGCATGGGCCAGGATAGGCCAGGGAGGACACAGTGGCTGGGGCGGGCGGACCGGCCAACAGACAGGGACTGCCGGTCACCCCCTCCCCAGGGCCCTGCGCAGGCCACAGCCTTAGTCATCCAGCAGCACAGGCCTGGGCGCGTCTGACCTGAAGGTACAGGGAGCCAGGCCGGCCCATCCGGCCACGGCGGGGACACGCTGTCCCCTGACCAAGATGCCCTGCTCGGGGCGAAGGACCAGCCCTGCCCCTGCCTGCGGCCCCGGCGCCGACTCCGGGCTGGCCCAGAGTCCTGTAAACACATCTACAGGGCGGGCGGCCTCTGGTGGGGTGGACGCACGGGGGCCAGCGAGTCCTTCCCACCGGCTGGGGCCCAGCACGTGCGAGGAACTGGACGTCAGCCCCTTCACGCATGCCCGGCCCTCGGGGTGCACCGGGACTGCTGGTCTGGGCCGGAGCCCGCCGCGCCGGGTCACACTGCCCAACCAACTCACGGCCTGAGGCCTGAGCCCTGAGGGACCCCAAGGCTGCGGTCAGCAGGCCAGCTCCTACCTGTGCCCCGGCTGCCCACCGACGCCGACCCCACCAGCTGCAGCAAGGAGGCAGGTGGGCAGGGCAGGGGCCCGGCGTGGGGGCTGCCCGCGGGGTGTCCGGCGGGGACAGGCACAGTGGGAGGCCCTGTCCCCACGCGCCAGGCCTTGGGGGCGCGGATGGGGCTGTGGCCCGGGTGAGGTGGGCGGCCAGCCACACTGGTCATGTGTTGCCCAGGCGAGACGGACCCGGCCTCTGCCCAACTCCAGCGACAGCCTCAGCGGCCTGCCCCGGCAGCTGGGCGGGGTCCGTCAGGATGCAGGTGGTGGTGCCCAGGTGCCGGAGAGTGCTCAGCACCGCTGCAGGACAGGGCGCAGTCAGCGCGCCCCACCCGTGCGGACGCCACGCAGGGGTGCGCCCGGTCAGCCCCGGGCGCCCCACAACCCCCTGGCTAAATCTGGTCCCCAGCCTTGCGAGGCCCCGCCCGCCCAGTGCCCCCCACGGCGGCCCCTCCCCCTCCCCCAGCCCAACTGCGCCCTCTGCAGCGACAAGCCGGGACCCGCAGCGTGGGGACGGCAACAACCACTCACTTGGCCGCAGAACGGGCAGGGCACAGTGCTGCTCCAGCCAGGCCAGCGCCGTGCGGTGCAGTTCGTCCAGGCTGCTGGTGGACACGACGCCCCTGAAGGACTCGAAGAGCGGCTTGATGATGATGCTGAACTGCGTGGGTGGTGGGTTAAGGAAGGAGCCAGGGCAGGCAGGTGCCCTGGACGGTGGTGGAGCCCCACAGTGGCCAGCTCAGGCCGCCTGAGCAGAGACCTGTGCCGGCTCCCATCACACCCTGTGGCCTCCCAGGCCCCGCCCCGGCGTGCCACGAGGGCCATCATCCCCCTGGCCTGCGCTGGCTGGGCGCACCCCGTCGAGAAGGTGGTTGGCGCCTCCTTCCTGGGCCGCTTCCAGCCGCCGTGGGCTGCTCGGGTCCCGCGTGCAGTGCCCGCGGCCCGCTGCCGTCGCCCACGCAAGAGAGACGCTGCCCAGCATGGCTCAAGGATACGATCCAGAACTTCCAGTTCTGTAGGGTCCGGCGCTTGACATACTCGTCGAACATGTCGCGCATGTGGTCCAGCGGGCGCCGGGCAGCCGGCACCCCCGTGGCGGGCAGCAGCCGCTGGCAGGACCTGCAAGGGAGGGTTAGCAGCGGGCCTG